AATGGTAGGGTAAATAGATGGATACAAGATGGGCTGATGACAAGGTCCCTTCAGCTCTAAGAAGGGGGTATTGTAGCTGAGCCTGGAAGGGGAGCAGGGATGTCCGCAGCTAAGGATGGTAGGCTGCAAAGAATCAAGGCCTGGGCAAGAGGAACACAAGCATATGGAAATGATAGCAGGGGCTAAAGAATGGAATGCATACCACATAAAGATGATGGGGACCATCTTAGGAGTTCCTGAAAATGATCATAATCAAAGGCAACTTGGTTCAATACTAGACTTTGTTTGATACCCCAATTCAGACCACCAAACTATTCAAGAAGCAAACTAGAAATAACATGTAGGATAATTAGAAAGCCAAATGCTAATTAGCTATTGAAAAAAATGAATGTATTGTTTATTTTTAAAGGTGTAATGATGGTATTTTTACTCTACAAAAAAATAATCTTTTTCTTTTAGTGGTGTACACAGAAATATTTACAGGTTTAAGGCTATAATGCCTAGGCTGGGGGTGTAGCTCAGTAATAGCGCGTATGCATGGCGTACCGGAAGCTCTGGGACTATAGTATCTGGGCTTTGCCTCAGAATATCACAGGAGATGGTATAGCAAAGAGTTTGGTGATGAGCTGCTGGCATCGGACGATAGGCACACCTAATTCTCAATTTTTGCATATATGGGAAATTCCTTATAACCTAAAATTGCAAATTAATCTGTTGATAACCGTTCTACTTGGAGGCTAAAATTAAAAGTGGGGGAAGGAAATTGGAAAGATTGCTGCTATATTAAGAAAATTTATTGCTTTGGCGGGGGACCCAGGTTCCATTTCTAGCACCTATATAGTTCACAACCGTCTATAACTCCAATCCTAGGGGATCTGAAGCCCTCTTCTAAACCCAGGGCCACCAGGCTAGCGTGTGGTAAACATACATGTAGGCAGAACTGTAAACAGAGGCTGCTCGTTTGTTTCCCAGTTGCCCAGTCCCAAATAATCACACAGAAGCCACATTAATCACAACACTGTTTGGCCTATTAGATCAGGCTTCTTATTAACTAACTCTTACATCTTAAATTAACCCATTTCTATTAATCGGTGTATTGCCATGAGGCTGTGGCTTACTGATGGTAAGGTTTTGACATCCTTCTCCTTTGGCAGCTCCATGGTGTCTCTCTGATTATACCTACTCTCTCTTCTCTCTCTCTGTCTCTCTCCCTGTCTCTCTCTCTGTCTCTCTCTCTGTCTCTCT